AAGGAAGTGACGGAAGCCTGGAAATTTGAGTGAATCCAAAGCTGTTTGTCGTTACATGGCACACAGTGACTCACTCACTGCTCTGGGAAAAATAAATAAATGAAGTACTAGGGCCTCCATTGAGGAGAACAGGAACTCGGGGAACTTGGGGAACTCGGGACGGATCCGCGTTCCTGTAGGTAAAAACGGAATCACGTAACGTGGCTGCAGCCGCCAAATTAAAATGGAGGGCTGCTTTTTCATCCCATAAGGTGATCTGAAATTCTGCCAATTGAAAAAAAAGAAAGGGAATTAAGGAGGTGCCAGTGCAGCCTGGTACAGGATTTCATCCAACTACTGAGTGTAACGGACGATTTGATTCTGGACTCCGTTCACTCACGGAGCCGCCCTCAGTCATAGCAAGAAGGACATTTTATTGAATTAAATCAGAGCAAATTTCCAGTTATAAGTGAGACTCTTGTCTCGCCTGATGATGTGGAAGGCACCGAGCTTTAGGACCTATCTGGAAATTCTGAATGGTGATCCTGGACTCCGCGGGCTCTGTAGAAAGATGAACACCCATCTTAGATGAAGGTCCCGTGTTGTGGAAACCCTATCCCTCACGCTTTGTTTTTTATCCATAGGAAGCCTGTCTCTGCGTGTTTGTCATTTAATGTCACTCTGAGTAGGCTGTGCCAGAGCCATTTCTTTCATGTGAGATTCTGAAGTGTAGATACAAATCCATCCCGGAGGTTGTCCCACGGACCAGGAGACGAGGCAGGCGGCAGAGCTGGAACTGTGGTGTTAAGTTAAGCGAGTCAGACACTCGTTTATTTTGATTACGCCAGGCTGAGATTTTCCAGGGCTCCTTCAGAGATCCCTGCTGAAGGGCGCGTGAACTGTGCGTGTTGATAGGAAACCGTGTGTCACCAAGGAGGACCGTGGCTCTGGCTGGCTGTACAAAAGACCTAGCGGGCTGCCTCGGTGCTGCGGGCTGCGGGAGAGCCTTGGTATCCACAGTGTCCTTTTCCTGTCTGCTATGCCAAACACGCATCCAGTTTTAAACCTCGCTTATTCCTGCCATCTTCCTCCTCCATTTGCCTTTTCTTCCGACAAACACATAATGGCTTAACACTGCCGGGCAGGCCCTGTGCTGACCGTGTGGTTCCCAAGATGAGCAGAGCCCGCTCTCCACCAGCGGGAGCTGCAGGACAAGGGAGGGGAGTGGGGGTTCACTTCGGCACTGTTGGCTCGGCGTGCGCCAGTGGTAACACTGATGCCAAGACAGAGGAGTGTGCGTCGGAGGCCCCGAAGGAGCCTCCCTGGTCTTTCTCGTGGAGGGATTCCATTCTCTTGTGATTCAAAGACACTAATGAGTGATCTTAAAATAGATAATGGTGGGGCGGGCAGAGCTCAGTGGTGGGACGAGTGCTTAGCTTGCACGAGGTCCTGGGTTCATCCCTGGTCCCTCCATTAAAAAGAAATGAGCTAGAATAGATTACATAATACTAACAAAAAATTATTGAAAACAGATAATAGTGGGAAGAGTTGCAAATGTCCTTTTCCTCCCTCGGCCAGAGGCCCGTCTCCCGCACTGCTGTCCTCTCTTCATCACAAAGAAAGCGAATCAAGGAGGAGTCACTCCAGCAGCCCCCCTCCTGCAGGCGATTCTGCCCGTGTCCCGGGGGCTCACCTGTGCGGTCCTGAGAGCAAGGGGGCTAGACCTAAGGGTCCATCCTGCCAGCTCCGTCCAACATCAAGTTAAAGTCTTTCAGGTTAAAGCCCTTGAGAAATGGTGGGCAGTTCCTGGTCTTTGCCGTCTCCTCAAACTTAATTACCTTGTAATATCCTGCCATCAAGCACTCTGTAATTTCATGTCTGATGGGGTGATGCGTTTCCAAGGAAGAATGTTTCATTTTAAGTCAATTAGATTGTATTTGTAATCTTACATTTCCCAGAGATGGACCAAGATGTCTGTTTTCAATCCTGGAAATGTTCATCCCGTGCTTTGCACTGACAGGGTTCGGGAAGTGAATTCCTCCAGCACAAATGAGTCAGTATCCCCTATTTGAATTCTTCCCTGCACCCCTCCCACCTCTGCTGATGCAACAGAGACTCAGGGAGGGGACAGCCCTGCCGCTGAATGTGGCAGAGACCTCAGCTTCGCTCCCACGTGCCCCTGCTTCCAACAGCCAGTGAGAGGTGGAGTGGGGACCGCACCTCACACGGCCCTGCCTCCTGTCCTTGGTTTTCTCTCCACTCAGCCGCCCCAGAGGTTCACTTTACCCTGATTACCCCCGATCACAACACTCAGGGCCGTAGACTGCTTGTGGCGTGTCTCGTGAGCTTTGTAGAACATCTCTGAAGACGTCTGGGACCTCTAATCACTCACCCCTAAGAAATGAGCGACAGATGAAATGTGCAGGTAGCAAAAGCAGGTTGCAGACGTAGCAGGACCCGTTTTGTTTTGTTTAGAAAGTATGCGCATTTATAGACTGCATCTGTGTTTGTGTGCGTGAGCCCCATCACTAAGGGTGCGTGCCACTGGGCAGTGTGTGTGTCTTGGGACCTGTTGAGGAGTACACTCATATTTCAAAAAGACTATTTGATACTCAAATTTTACTCCGACAATAATGGGATATTAAAAAAACAAAGGCTATTTTTAAAGGAACAAGTCCCAAAACACTGAGCAGGAGAGGACGAGGCCTCTCTGTATGTGTACATGTTGGTTCAAAGTCCTGCCTCTGGAACCAGGCCGTTTGTGCTCACCTGGGACACGTCGCCTCTCAGTTTTCTTGCCTGTACAATGGGGATAATAACAGCGGCCATCTCAAAATAATCATGGGGACGGTGAATAATATATGTGAAGTGGCCAGAGCCATGCCCGGCCCTCAGGGAGGTGAGCCCAGGCTCCCAGCCGGAACCAGCACTGACCCGCTGCCCCCGGCGGGCCTTCTCCGTGCGCAGTGTTTCCCTGGTGGGTCCAGGACACCTGGCCGAGCGGAGCTCACGCTAGCAAGTCTCCGTAGTGACATGTGTCTTCATCAAAACGCTATTACTTAGCGGTGCTGTTGGAAAAAATGGCCGCATCACTTTTCATGTTTAAATCAGAGCTGCAGGGTGTCAGTTGTTGGTTCTAACACAGAGGCTTGACCAGTGCACCCGGCTGGCCGGCCGTAGGTGGCATAGGGGAGATTCTCACCCGGAGTTTGTTGCTGCTGTTTTCCAGGATTCTGAAGGAGTCGAAATCATGTTAGGAGTTTGTGCGAGCGGTTTGCTGATTTATCGCGACCGGCTGCGCATCAACAGGTTCGCCTGGCCGAAGGTTCTGAAAATCTCGTACAAGCGGAACAACTTCTACATTAAGATCCGGCCAGGAGAGGTAAATAGACCCCGATGTGCATGCACATTGGGAGGAAAGTTACCTGAGAGCAAAGAAGAATCTAAGTCACCTGCTCCCAAGTCGCGACCCTGGCAGGACGTAAGGAGTCACGTCCAAGTGCCTAAGGGAATCTCTTGTGGGTTTGTCCAGAAAACGGTAATAAAACGTTCTCCTCTGTTTTACTGTTTTGTTCTAATTTCCCCCACTGCATACATTAATTGAAAGGTTTTCCTTTTGATGTATTTTAATGTAAAATCAAGATTCATGAGTAATGTTTTGTATTTTTCAAGTGGTGGCATCAGACACTCCTAGTTGCTAAACCTCTTTGTGAGTGAAGAACAGACTCCTTCCTGTCTGTCCTGTTTCTCTGTCTCCACGTCCCCTCTCTGTCCTCCAAATCTGGTAGCACCCTAAAGGGAGTAGCTTAGACACAGTGAGCATCAAGGTACAAGGAAGATTAGAACGAGTGATGCCAGGTGTAAATTATGCAAGTGTTCCACAGCCTGAACTATTTCTCCCCTTTTTTTTCAATCAGAGAGACTAATGAAAGGATCAAAATTGTTAACTAATCCTTGCTCCTTAGGCAAAAGCATCCATGATCAACTTTTCTTCTATAGTGGTGTGACATAGTCCATAGTGAATATCTGCTCTTGTCTATGTAATAGATAATTAATGAATATGTGCAGTTTCTAATTAGTGTCGTTAATATAAGGGAGGCTGCCAAAACTCCAAGATTATAGCTCATTGATGTTTCTGAACATTTCTGGTGCAATATAGGATTCTCTCCTGTCTTCAAAATCAACCTCTCCACTGGTGGGAAATGCCAGTTTAAAAAAATCAGACTGTATGGGATGTGATGCATAGCATGGTGACTACAGTTAATAACACTGTATTGTACGTTTGAAGTTGCTAAGAGAGTAGATCTTAAAAGTTCTCATAGAAAAAGAATTCTGAACTGCATGTGGTAATGGGTATTAACTAGCCTTATCGTGGTGGTCATTTCACAAAATAAAAAAGTGTCAAATCATGCTGTACATCTGAACTAATATAATGTTACATGTCAGTTACATCTCAATACAAGAAAGTTTTAAAAGTTAGACTATAAAGTAATGTAAATATAAAATCAAACTTGTCTTTGAAGACCAAAATGATCTGCCAGCTTTTCATGTAAATACCTGAAATTCATTTTTTATATTTCCTAAAGATTGCCTGTTACACTTATAAAAATTTATATTCGATTTTTTTAACAATTTTTATTGACTTATAATCATTTTTATATTCGATTTATTAAACATGTGTTAAGTGAGCATCTGTTTATTGCCAGGCACTGTTGGGCATTGAAAATAAGAGGATAATTATGACCTCGTTCCTGTCCTATAGGGACTTTCTGTTCAGCACAGAAACAGACCCGCACACGTGGAATTGCATCAGGATACAGATGTGATAATATTGCGTAGGCGTGGGATGAGCATCGTGTTGGGAGAGGTTGAAGGGAGCGTCGGACCAGGGCGTTGGCAGAGCGTAGGGAGCCATGGGAGCTTTGTAACTGGGCTGTGACATGCCAGGTGGATATTTTGGAATGCAATGCAGCAACTTGGTAGTGTGACATGGTGAGACCCAAACTAGGGCAGAGGCTGTGGGAATAGACTGGAAGGAGCAAATGGAGAGAGAGGTTTCACAGCAGAAGCAGTAGGTCCTGGAGACAAGGAGGGGGAGGGCAAAAAAGGCAGGAAAAGAGTGCAGGAGAATCAGAGGTTTGGGGTCTGCATGAGAGAAGTCTATGGCAATGGTGTTATTAGGTAAGAAATTGGGGAGAATCTCAGAAAAAAAAGCATTGAAATTCCTGTGGGGACAGATTTCTGGGGGTGATTCTTGCGTAGTAAGAAGCATAGGACTTGAACAGAGTCCTCCACGTTTTATTCAACGCTTTGGGCAGGGAATAAATTACCAAAGAACAAGGGAAGTTAGAAGTGGGGAGAAAGACCCTAAAACAAAACCTCTTTCTGAGGGAGGGGAGGGCAGGAAAGGAGCATCGGCAGCTCAGGAAAACCAGCCGGAGAGGAAAAGGGACACAGTCGTGGACGACGAGGGAGGAGATTCGGGGACGAGGTTACCCAGCGGCGCCCGACGTCACAGAGGAGGCGCTGGGGGTGAGAACTAAGTGCGTTGAGCTTGACGGTCAGGCCCCGTTGTGACACTGGTTCAGGAAGTAGTCAGGGCAGCTGGCAGGTTGCGGTGAGGGGAGGAGGGGGTGGCGGAGGCTTCCCTTCCTGACACCGGGCAGTGACGTGCGTGTCGGGAGCCCGGGTCGGCAGAAGCAACCTCAGAGAACGTTGTCCCTCCTCCCCTCCTTTTTTTTTTTTTTTTTTACAACCGTATGTACAGCCCGAGAAGAATGAGTGAGAATGATTATTAATGGCACAAAGGCTCTGAAGAGGTTGGAAGAAATGAATACAAAGCAGAGAGAGAGAGAAACATTCAGGAAGGGCTGGGCGGGCTCGCATCCTTGTGTGTCTGAGGAGGAGGGCAGCGAGAGAATCTTCCCCGCTTCTTGCAGCAGGGAGTCAGCTTCTTAGACCCCCGCCTGAGCGTAGCGTGCGGTGCATGTGAGATGAAGGGTGGATGCGGGCAGGATGCTTTAGTCTGAGTCCACGGTCCCCTGGCTTGTCGATTGCCCGGGTCCCTTGGGCGGTGGTGAGTTTCACGACCATGGCTGCATAGGAGAATCAGAAGGACAGAAACACGGGAAGACAACTGCATTGAGAGCACTGAGATGTGTCTCCCTGTCTCCCCTGCCCAGCCCCCCTCAACACATTAGAAGTAGAGCCGAGCATGGTTAGAGCGCACCTGCCTTGCATAGAACCCCTCCCCTTAGGCTTTTGCCACATAAACTGCTTTTGCTGTTGATCACAGCAGTGGTCCGGAGGTTTTGTGCTCTTTTGGAAAGCCTTTACTGTTTAGGGTGATTGCCCTCTGGTGGCCTGGTGTATCCCATCTTCAGAAAATAAAACATTATCGAGTGTCTGCCATAATCATGTTAAAATATATTACTGAGATTGTCAGACATTTCACCTTGAAAAGTTGGGTGGCTGATGGAGTATCATGTAAACTATGCATGCTGAAAAATAGGAAAATGTGTTCTCCTGGCCTCTGATCTTACACAGCCAGCCCTCCTTATCCCAGGGCTCTGCATCTGTAGGGGAAAAAATTCCAGAAAGTTCCAAAAAGCAAAACTTGAATTTGCTGCATGCAGACAACTATTTCCATAGCATTTCCATTGTTTTTACTATTTCCATAGCATTTACATTGCATTAGGTAGTATAAATAATCTAGAGATGATTTAAAGTATGCAAGAGGATTACATGAGTTATTACGCATGTACTATGCAATTGTGCATGAGGAGCTTGAGCATCCATGGATTTTGGTATCCACGGGGGTCCTGGAACCAATCCCCTCGGATGCTGAGGGCCAATTATATACTGTATTGAGAGCTGTTAGCATTTAACATGTTAATGCACAAATGAAATCAGCAGTATCTGATACCAGGTCATCAGATACGTAGGATATATGCACATTTCCAGATGAGATACAGAGAAAATGTCATCCTGAGAACAGTGTGAACCGCACACATTTTATTCATGTCTGTCCATTCCAGGTGAAGTCAGGATTTCGTAGAGATCCTGTGGTCTCTGGAAGGAACACAAGCGTCCTTCTTTTTTTGCATTTAACTTTTGTAAGATTCATCCTTGTACATGGAACGTTTACTGCATGCATAATGTGGTGATCTGTACCTGCAGCACTGTAAGGCGATAGGAGATTCTTTTTCTTAATGGATGAATGTTTGTAGCATGAAACCTGCATGGAGCAGTTGATTTCAGGAGTAAAGAAAAAAATCTGTGGGTGGTATTTTGATTTTGTCTATTATTTGTTTGTATGTTATTTACGATTCCAAACTTCACTCTGTCCTTCCATGTGTTTTTTTAAATTTAGTTTGAACAATTTGAAAGCACCATTGGGTTTAAGCTGCCAAACCATCGAGCTGCCAAGCGTTTATGGAAAGTATGTGTAGAACACCATACATTCTTCAGGTGGGTAGAAACCAGTTTGGTTTTTCCCTAAGGAGGAAAGAGAACAATTGGCATCACTTACAGTGCGGAAGATTGTTGGGAAGAAGAATGTGGAAACAGTAGCCTTTCTATTCCTTCAGCTTTGTTGCCACCAGATGTCTTGTTAAATCCTAAAAGAGCTTCCAACTGAATTTGAAAGATTTTCCTTAACTTGTCTTATACTCACCTGCCTCATCTCCCCTTTACTATCTTTAGTGGCTTTTCATTATTTTCATAGGCGGTGCACTTCAGATGTCCAGTCCATTCTATTTCAGTCATTTCTCAATGCCCTGAACTCCTTTGCTCAAAACGGTCCTAAAGCCATCAGATCTGTGTCTGCAGAATCACAGATCATCACTGTTCTTCACCAACATGACCTCCTTAATTGCTCTCTGGGTTTGCAGAACCATAGACTCTCCCACTGCACGGGATGTTAAAGTGTGTCTAGTCCCACTCAGCCGCCATTTTCCTTGTAGCCTCTGTGCGAAGACACCACTTGAAATACACTGTATGAATTGATCTTTTTCTTATAAGACAAGATTCATTGCACGGCTTGTTGGGTTTGGAACCTTTAGTTCGCAGAGCACGTTACCTTTCAGAACAGAGTAAAAAGTTAGCATTCTTAGTATTTGGCTTAACAATCTCCCCGATGTTTTTTTCTTTAATATCTCTAGACTGTTGTTACCAGAAGCACCGCCAAAGAAATTCCTTACCTTGGGTTCCAAGTTTCGTTATAGTGGAAGAACACAAGCCCAAACCAGACGGGCCAGTGCATTGATAGACCGCCCTGCCCCTTACTTTGAACGCTCATCCAGCAAACGTTACACCATGTCGCGCAGCTTGGATGGAGGTAGGTACCCCTTCCTGCTCCTTCATTATCCCTAGTGGCTGCCCAGGAGGAGGAAGCCATCATGAGCCTTTGATGAGCAGAGGTCCTCGGGGACAGTGTGAAGTGCAAAGCACTTGTTGGTCTCTGGCTGAATGGCAAATTATAACCCCTCCAGCCTTGGAAAAACAAAAGTGCCTTTGTGAGTCTAATGTCTGTTGGTGGCGGATTTATATAAAATTACAGGCTGGTACTCAGGGAGTGAGGAGCATAGCTTTCCTAGGCTGGCACCCTGAATTTGGGAAAAGATGCTGTCGTTCTAAATATCATAACCACATATTTATAAGTCCGTTGGTTCCCTCGGCTGCAGATCTTCAGTGATTACCAGGTCTGTTTTAGACGCTTTGTTTCAGAAAGAAAACTGAGTTAAATTTGTCTCTTATTTCTAAAATATGTTTATGAGTAAAATGTGACTTTCCATCAGCCAGTGGATAATAGCTGATAGAAAGGATTACATTCAGCTAACAGAGTAAAGGCTGTACGTGAAATCCCCGTGGTTAATGCTAATTACTGCGGCAGACAGACAGGGGAGAGCGCCTGTGAAATGGTCTCTGCTGCTAAGTCAAACGTGTGAGGGGACCAGGGAGAGAGTCACTTAATCACTTCAATGATGTTTTCAGGGAAGGACATGGTAGTGAGTTTTTAGCAGGTGTTTGTTTCGTGTGACGGATTTCTCCCGCCTTCCGTAGTCCCGTGAGGGTGTACTTTCTGCTACAAGACGCGGCCATAGGACAGTCGGAGCTGCTGTATCCTCGGGCGTGGAGCCCACTATACGGAGGGCCGACTGTGTTTTTGCACCACATACCCCGTTTTCTGTGGGAGACTCGAGCATCCGCGGACTCTGGTTATCCACAGGGGTCCCAGGACTGTCCTCACAGGTACCGAGGGACCACCGTAGTACTTAACATAGCAACAGAGCCATGGCCAGGGCTCTATCCTCCGATTCAGAGCCCCTGAAGATCAGATGTCGTGTAGGAGGCCTGCCCTATGCACACACAAGGGAAAGTTTCTAGCATGTATGTACAATTTTTTTAATTGAAGTACAGTCAGTTACAGTGTGTCAGTTTCTGGTGCACAGCACAGTATCCCAGCCACACATACACATATATATATTCATTTTCATATTTTTTTCATTAAAGGTTATTACAAGATATTAAACAGTCTCCTGTGTTGTACAGAAGAAACTTTTTTCAATCTATTTATATATATAGTGGCTAACATTGGCAAATCTCAAAGTCCAATTTTAATAGTAAGCAAAAACATATAAAGTCACAGAGCCTGGGACCACCTTCCTCCTGACCTTTTTTGCCCCCCACCCCCCACTCACCATAGGGTCTCAGTTCTTCCTTCCCTTTCACCAGACCCCCGTGTGGCTGCTGGGGTGACATGCGCCCCAAATCCCATGATTAAAAAGACCATATTGTCCTAATGGAATACTTTATAACAATTTCTAGAGGACGTCAAAATTGTGTTATTAGCACTATATTATCATTACACATTATGTCAGTGAAGCGGAAGGAAGGCTCACCAGGCATGGATAAATTCAGACCCAGGTCCAGGCACCTTGCCTGTGCCGCCGTGTGCGAATGAGTTAGTCTGCAGGTCTCAGCTTCAGTAGTTTGTCATCCGTAAGATGGGACCAAGGCTACCCCGACAGGTGCGGAGAGTGAGTAAGAGGTAGGCGAGGTGATGATAATGATGTCAGTAGTTACATGGGTAATTATCCTGGAGGCTTTTGCGAGCTGCCCTGGGAGGCCAATTACTGTTCTCTGTCTGCTCTGAGAGTCTCCTGTTTTCATAATATCTAACTTGGAGCCAAACTTTTGGGTAAAGTGTTTTATTAGGACTACTTCAAGTTGAATTAAGATACTGAAAATTCCACGTTAACATTGATACTTTCTTCCGGCGTCTTCCCCCTTAACGAATCTCTGTGGTTGAGTTGTGTGTTCTGTCGGGCAGGGTTGCAGGCACTTGTGTAGAATAACACCTCGTTCCCCCAAACACCACCCACTTTGTTTAGCAATGAGAACCCAAGGGGACATATCTGTTGTGAATGTCGTTTTCCTCGTGACCTGTTGTGTGATACAGTGATGGCTGAGAAGACAGAAGACTATTGTGAAATAAATGTACTAATATCATGCTGTCTCTCTCTCCCTGCCCAAAAGTGATGTTAGTATGTTTTGTCTCTCATTCTTTGGGGTCCTGCCGATTCTCGAATGTTTTCTGTGCTGCTGCACTGGGGGCCGTGGCTGCATGTTGGAAGAGAAACTGCTGTTTGCAAGATTGCATCTCCTGTAGAGCAGCCTGATGGGCCCACTAGGAAACTGTGTCTCATACGAGCTTCTTCATCAGCAGGAAGAGATTAAAAAAAATGTCTTAGTGAAGGTATTTTAGTAAAATGATTTACTGTTAAAACAATTTCAGAATTTTTTCCTTACATTTACATTTTAAACTTCCTAAAATGTGAAAGATTTAGAAAGATTGTATTTTGCCTGTGATTAGCTACTCTGTATTTGAGAAGCAGCTTTTCTAAATTATTTCAGTAAATGTTACGGTACCTAAAACCTAAAATAACGACCACCAAGTTTCAAAAATTCAACTGAACGAAGCATCTCTTTCACTAAGACATTTTAGCCGGGACGAAGGCTGTGTCTTGTGTCTCTTACGTTTGCATGCGCTGCATTTGCATGAATTTCATTAGCAACCTTTGTCTGGTTTTCCCGGAATACTAGAGGTGAAGGAATGGATGCATAAAGCGGTCGTCTCTTTCAAGTGCGGTGACAGTTAAATCATCTCTGCACTTCAGCTGAACGGAGTTCGGCCGTCTGAGTTCTATAATCTCTTGCCAAGAGGGTTGCTGTTCGTTATTACTTCCGTAGCTTATGCAGTGTAGGAGTGGTAGACTCTTCAACCGCTAATAATAATAGTGGTAGCAGTAGTAATAATAATAATAAAAAAAACTTTCAGTGCTCATTAATGAATGGCCCTTCCAAAGGTGTGTTCAAAGCCAAGTGCACCAGAGCAGTTGTCTGTCTACTGAAAGTACTGCTAGTTGTGGAATTTGCCCCTAAGTGTCTGGTGCCAGGGGCCCCCCGGTCGCTCTGTGGGGTAACAGGCTCCACGGCAGCTCGGCCGCCCATCTGTCCGCTCACACCCACCCTCACGCACATCCTCACCTGAGGGCCCGAGAGTGGATGGCAGGTGCTCTGGTGGCTTCAGGAGATGAGCTTGGAATCCTGCTGAAACACTGTTAGGGCTGGTGCAGAAGGACGAGCCTGGCATTGCTTAGATCAGGGACCTGCGGTGCTGACCTCCCTGTTGAAGAGAAACCCGGGGTCTTGCAGGGGCATTTTTTTCTGTAACAGGACGATCGGCAGTGCTCTTCTGTCTTCTGACTTAACTCTTCCGGACTTTATTTCTTCAATTGTATTCGCTTTTAGCGTCGGTGAATGAAAACCATGAAATATACATGAAGGATTCTGTGTCCGCTGCAGAGGTTGGTACTGGCCAGTACGCCACAACAAAGGGCATCTCTCAGACCAACTTGATCACCACTGTGACTCCGGAGAAGAAGGCGGAGGAGGAGCGGGACGAGGAGGAGGACAGACGGAAAAAGGCCGAGGAAGCCACGCCTGCCGCTGCTGTACGGCAGGAGGGCAAGGTACATCCCCGGCTGCCTCCCGCAGACCAGAGGGCTCCCGAGTGGCGCTGAGGCTGGAGACCAGGCATGCGTGCGTGGGGTCAGGCCGATTCCTAGTGCAGCCTTAGTCACATGCATATTGTCAGTCTGTAAATTATTATTTCCTGTGCCAACATTTTTTCCTCCGAAAGACCCTTTTTTTAACTTTCTGGAAGTGTTTATTGAACACCTTGGGTGCTACGTAAGACTTTCAACAGCTGTCCTGTCTGTATAGCTTAAAATACGTCTGGTGGCGTGTTACACTCTCGTGTTTGGGCTCATGTTTCAGAACTGCACTAAAGCTCTTTTCCTTGTTTCTGGCCCCATTCTCCTACCCACGGACTGTCCCGTCTGTCTAGGTATCCAGCAGTTGCATTGCTGCTCTTCTGACTGCAAGTAACTGAGTGTTTATACATCCTTCTCTTTCTTAGGCTTATGACTATAACCTGATTATCAAGGTAGCAAGTGGACATGTTTTGGAAAAGGAATATTAAGGCAGAACATTTCAGGGGAAGACAGAGCGTGAACTTGGCAGCAATTTCTCCAAGGTGTTTTATCTATTAAATTTGGTCACTTCATTTCATCCAAAATTCAGTTAATTTTTAAACATTATGTTTATTGCTGGAGATCCATCACTATAAAGCAACGTTTCAGAAAAATGAAAGTCAGAAAAGCATGTAGACAACCTGCTTCTGGTGTGGGGTTTTGTATGTGGCGGAACAGCTCCGCTAAAAGTCAGACACCACGTGGGGAGGTTTATACATAATAATAATGGAAAAACAAGAGTGGGTCTTGGAGTGGACAGAATACAGAGTGAAAGGAAACAGCCAAATAAAAATGCTCTGTAACTTTAGAGGGTATGCTAAAGCTAAGATAAATTTCAGAAGTGCTCGTTCACACGTGGGCTTTTCAGGTATATAAGACGGGACAGAGAATTACCCAGGGCTCTCTAGAAAAATGCTCCTTTTGAGAAGAATTTAACAGTGGCATCTAAATGGACAGACTAGCAAACACGCCATCCATCTGCTTATGTTAGACTATCCCAGTGACCCAGTCTGCCATCCTTTTTAGGGTAGATCGTTTATTTACCAAACACAAAAATAAAAACAGGATACGCGCCAACAGCAAGAGTGTTTGGATCACTTCTCTATTAAATGTGCTCTGTTCCAGATTTTCCTTTTGCACAATTCCTATTCCATTAATTCAAGGCAGGTTTTAAGTAGGGCCCAAGAAGAAGGTGGCATACTTGAAAAGCCAATGTGTCCCATGCTTTCTTGATACCACCCACGCCCACACTCCGTTCTCACAGGTGTGTAAATATGATTAAGTGGCCCATAAAAGTAAATGACTTGTCGTTTACTCAAAAAAAAAAAAAACACAGATACAGTCTCACTTTATTGGATTTTCAAAGATCAGCGATTTGTTGACATAAGATGTAGCCCTGGGCCAGCGTCACGCAGTGTCGTTTATGCTGTGGGAAAATAAAAGGACAAGACTGCGGCTCGCACCGTCTGGGTCTCTGAGAAGCCAGCACTTTGACGCAGATGCCTTCTGAAAGGCTGGGGCTGAGGCCTCTGCTCAAGGAGGTGGACGGCTGTCTTGCCGCCCATGGGGCGAAGCCGTCTTTTAAAAACCGCTTTCATCAGCAGCACAGAAGCTAAAGCGGTAGTTGTGTTCTTCCCGCTTCAAGAAGTAGCATAGAGGGTACTCGTTTTTCAGCCAAAATGAAACTGTATTACTGAAAAGTGGCCCTTAAATGACTGGCCCCTAGATTTCTTTGAGAGGAGGCGTCTTCCTGGCCTAATGATCACCCCAGGTGACAGGGCAGCCTTCTGTGGGCAGAAGCCAGCTCATAACTTGAACGTTATCCTCAGTTCAGTGAGATTCATGCGAGGTCTTGTTTAAGACACAATCTTTTAAGTCAGATGTGAGCGTTCGGAAAAGATATACTTGTCCAGTACCAACAAGGAGACCCTTCTGAATTCTAACAGATCCATGATGTAATTTTGTCTGTGCATTCTCTTACCCTCGGTCTCTTTATTTACCAAATCAGAATCAGATAACTGCCCCAAAGCAGGCCGGGTAACATCCGTGCTGTCTGGTCACTAGGCAAAAACACGCACACGCTTAAACACACACAGAGCGGAAGTCCAGGCACCTTCAGGCTCCGAGTGACCCGGTCTTGAACTCCCGGCGGTAGCAGCCTCTGCGCGGGGCCCAGGTCCTGTTTGGCACTGGCCTGCTTCCTCCTTTTCCTCCTCGCTCAGCGGCCAGGGAAGGAGGGCGGAAGAGCCTCACTCTCCCTGCAGAAGCCTGCACTCAGCGGGAGCACTTTCACGGGATGCCTGCCTTGATGGAGCTCTTAACGACTCAAACCAGGCGAGCTGCGCGTAGCTGAGAAACCAGAAGGCGGGGAAATGGTGTCTTCCAGTTATTCATGGGCCACAAGTAACACAAAGTGAGCGCTTATAAACCATCTCACAGGAAAACACGTTCTTTTTTGCTACTTTGCTGGTTGAAAACACTTATTTAAGGTCCATGTGCATCGGGGTGAAGGAACCAAAAGAGGAGTTTTCAAAAGAACCTTAGTTCTTTGTGAGTAGTTAAGGCTCCTACAATGTTCATCGCTGAATTCCCTGATCAGAACCGCCTGTCAGATAGGAGTGGGGCCAGAAACATCTTGATTTGGAAACCCACCTGTTTCAGATATAACCGACTAACCAAGGAAAAGGTAATGCTAGAGATTTTGTCTAAAATAATCAAAATTTGGATTCATTCTCCTTTGAATCCAGCCGAACTCCAGTAACGGATCTGTTAGCTGGAGATCAGGAGAAGTTATTGAAAGTCTTGGTTTTACGTTTGCTCTCAACACCCTAAAAATTTCTAGAGTTATTGGTCTAAGCAAAATTTTGGGCTTTTTTATTTTTATTTTTATTTTTAACAGTCTTTTTTTAAACCTGTATTTATTTTTCCCCTTAACGGAGGCACTGGAGATTGAACCCAGGACCTTGTAAACAAAATTTCTGAAGCGTTTGAAACATGTAGACATTGAGATTACCCACAGATACCTTCTGTTCTGATTTTTTTTTAAGCCCACCCTGTATTTGACTGTCCAGTGGGAAAACGATGGCCGTTCGTGGCCGCGTTGGCATGCAGCTTGAATACTTTAAAATCCCTGAACAACCCTAGTGCTGAATTTCTTGTTTTACAGTTTTGTATTGATGCCCACAAGGAAGTTAACTAATTGCAGTTTTCTTTTTGTCCTTTTGCACCTCTGTTTGCTGCTTTCTGTCTCTGTCTCTCTCATCAGTCACCCGGGCTTGGCACTGACTCATGTCCCCTGCCCCCCCCCATTGGCCCACCATCCCCCAGCATCTCCCCCCGGGCTCCGCCGGAGGTGTAAGGAGAACCAGCGCCCCCCACCGGGGCTGGAGCCGTCCCGGGACCCCGGGCACCTGCACGGGGAGCCTGCCTCGGACCCCGACGGCCGAGGGAAGCCGTGCCGAGGGGACCAGGACGTGGCTTTTAGCTACAAGCAGCAGACGGGCAAAGGGGCCACCCTGTTCTCCTTCTCCTTGCAGCTCCCCGAGTCCTTCCCTTCTCTGCTGGATGACGACGGCTACCTCTCTTTCCCCAGCCTGTCCGAGACCAGCCTCCTGCCCCAGAGCTGGCAGCACTTCCTCCCCATCCGCTCGCCCTCCCTCGTGCCCTGCTTCCTCTTCATCTTCTTCTTCCTGCTCTCCGCCTCCTTCTCAGTGCCATATGCCCTCACTCTCTCCTTCCCTCTGGCTCTGTGCCTCTGCTACCTGGAGCCCAAGGCGGCCTCCTTGAGTGCCTCACTAGACAATGACCCGAGTGACAGTTCAGAGGAAGAGGTGTGTACCTCGGCATAGAACACACGTCCCTGTCATGTTCGGGGCTGCGGTCCGAAGCAGTGTTAGACGGCTGCTGCGATAGTGGTCCTACTTTCAGAGCCTCATTTATTGTCTGTGCCGATGCGTGACGAGGTTGTGTGTGGGGGGAACACCGCCCGGCCCAGGGTTAGGCACAACACCATGTGGCCGGAGCAGTCGGAGCCCAGCCCGGAATCCCGCCGCTACCCACCGAGTCCCACGGGTGCTGGAGGACTCAGCCCAGGTCCGCTGTAAATGAATAACCCGGGGGCTGTGTAAAGAGTCAGGGCTAAGTTGAAGGCGCTGTTCAGGTTCCGCTCAATAAAGGAAATCACATAGAAGATAGATACATAACTTTCAACTAGGTCCATGGCGAGTTACCGAAACGCATCCTGATAGAGTGATACCCGGTGGTGACCCGCACTGGGTAGAGGATGCTCAGGTGTGGCGGGAGAGCGCACCGCCGTCAGGGGTGCAGCATATCATCTGGGTAAATGCCTCCCTCTCCCCCCTGGAGATTCCGAAATGCCCCCACTGCTCTTTGATCATCATTGCCAGACCATCACTGCGACTCCCGGAGGGAAGCTGGGGCCCATGGGGGTGTTGGGTCAGGAAGGATGCCTGAGCAGTTTCAGACGCCCAGTGACATCAGCCATTGGCAGGATCAGAAACAGGACCAGAAAGAGCAGCATTTGAAAACGGCAGTTTCCAAACAGTCAGGGAAGACTCGTTTGGGGTTTCTGCGCGCTGTCACAGGGGCTGAACTTCCATCAGCAAGAGTGATGTCAGTGCACACGTTGAGGGGCAGCCGTTCTCTCAGCTCCAGCGTGAGCCCCTAAGTCCACACCTCCCCCTGGCGAGGCCAGGAAAGTCGGAAGGGCCTCTGTGGCTCGCAGCCAAGCTTGTGTGCGGTGGGGAAAGGACTGGCGCCTCCAGCCTCTGTCGGTGAGGGCGTGCCGCCTGTCAGTCTCCCGTCCCCTCCCCCCAGCCACTGGGTGGGGTGACGTAGCCGATAGTTTTTCCTCTTAATTGTTCCCTGTTCCCACCGCTCCACTGCCGGCTGAACAGCCCAGCAGTGTCCTTTGTGCAGCCTTCAAACAGAGCGCACAGAAAAGAACAGAAGCGGCCACCAGAGGCGCCTGGCTGACACCTACCCTCCTGCCTCCACCTGCCCCGGCCCCTCCAGCAATTCTTTTCCCACAGAACAAGGGGTTTTTTGTGGCAGGAGACAAACCCACTATACCTCGCGTTGAAAAAGAAAACCACACAGTCAAAGCAACACTAAAAAAGGAAAGAAAGTCTATTCAGCTCTGGGCTCAAATACTAATTCGAGCTGCACCTGCGAGCATGCAGCACCGCGGGGGTGCGTATGTATCTATATTTAGTGGTGTTATGACCATTTCTTTGAAGCAAAAAGGAAAAAAAATGGGAATGGTCTCACAGATGTTGTAAAGAAAAGTTTAAGCTTTTCAATCTGATTTCGCCTAAGAGCCCTTTCCAAGGCTCTTGGATTGTATATGACTTAGCTCCAAATCTACCTTTATGTAACCATTTTCATATGTGGAAAATATTTTAAGATAAAACAACTCTAAATCCTAGGCTTGACTATCTCTACTTCTCATAGTGGCAACATGATCAAATAATGTAGAGCTAGACCCTCCCACCGTTCAGAACACAATGTTTATCTGCAAAGACTTCGTAATATTAACTGGTTTCCAACCCAGACATCTATTTTTCCTTTAGCAATGGGATTAGTCATCAAGCTAACATAAGGCAAAAAGATTGCCACTTTCAGTTTTTTTCTGAATTTTAAATAACTGAACTTTTATGTAGCCAACCACACAGATCTTGTGCCTAATCCAGGGTGTACATCTCGTTGTAATCAGTGCATGAAAATTAATGTGAAACTCGGGCATGTCTGCATTACATCAGCAAAACAAATCACAGCAGTTACTCCTTGCAAGCGAGTGACCGCATGATCAGAGCTTCCCCTATGTTAGGCCCCCTGGACTTTGCAAACCTCTGAAACCATGGCGGGGCTCTGGCCGTGCAGCCCCCGAGCCCTCCTCTCCAGCCTGGTCACCCGTGACCTGACATGCGACTTTGTATTTGGCCATCTGTTCAGTGTCGTCTCAACCCCAAGTGTTAAGAGCTGCGCGCTCTGGTTCACACTGAGCTGGAGAACGCATATGTAGGTCATTCCGTTAAAAAAAAAGAGAGAGAGAAATCGCCATTTGTTGACATGGCCTTTTGCAGACCCTGGGCCTCAAGCCCTGTGGCAGCTCAGCTGGGTGACTTCTAACACACAGCTCAGCTCTGTCACTTTCATTTTGCAAAATCGCCAATGACTCTAGTTCTTTCTAAATATTTTATCGTCCCTGCTTACATTTTTCACGTGTGGTGGTGGCTTAATTAGCTCCAGCCCTCCTGCAGAGGGAGGCCCAGCGTAGAGCGGGGTCATCATTTCCGGCTACGAAGCTGGCGGCTGTTCCCCCTCCTGTGCTGCCCGCATGGCCAAGTGAGAAGAGGCAGCATGCTGAATCATCTTCATCTGCCAGGAGACGGGAGCTGAGTTTAGCTCACCACACCGTGAAATGTAGTCATGTGTCATTTTGCGAGGAATTTTTGGACAATACCCAAAAAAGGGAGATGGACTAAATCTGGAGGGAAAGATCGATCACATGATTTGACGTATTAAATTGCTTACTACAGGGTAGTTCACGGCTTGCCATCTATTTTTCAGTTTTTAATCATAGGATATAAGTAACAGTCTTTATTCAGCCTTTATTACTTCATTTATTAACTATTTATTGACCAGGCACTATGTTTGTTGAGTGACTGACTGACCAGGTGCTAAGTAGGAATTTGAGGGAGTTTAGACACAGCCCAGGCTATTTGTGTGTAGTAGGGGGAAAGTATTATCATTATGAAATGCTGTGTTGATAACAGTATTTCCGATCCTTGTAGTCACGTGTGTGAGGTCCTGGGTGAAGCGGTTAGTGTCCATCACCTGACACAGGGCTGTCATTTTCCCCACTTTATAAGAAGGAAATCGGAATTAAAATACAAGCCTGCCCAGCCGGCCTCAGAGTTAAACAGCAAGGAGTTGTGCTCACGTCAGTCTGACAGCAGACCCCTCGCTCTGAACCGTGGCCGTAATTCTGGTCCCAAGATGCTTGGAAAACGACTGAAAGGAATTCTAAAGCCACGAGGGATAGAATCTAAATAGGAAGAGAAAGACTTTCACAAGAACTTTTGACGTCCTTGGCACAAACAGTTAGCACGCTGAGCACAAGTCATTCTTAGCTGCTCTTGAAAGCCTCAGGTTTCCTCGAGTCATTCTGTACCCTCGAACTGGAACCTGTCCCTCTTCCTAATTCAAACTGGCCTTCCCCTAGACTGTCGGTTGGGGAAGCCTTGCTAATGCCGCAGCAGCGATCACCCTAATGAGAAGATAACTAGCCACTCCCCAGGGATCGCCACGTGGGTCCGGTCGTGAAGCTGTCAGCCAGCCCTTTACCACCTACTGAAAGTGACTTCCCGCGTAGGCAGGTGACTTCTGCCCGGTTGTCAGGATGGTGACCTGAGGTGCACGTGCCAAGTGTGAATTCCAGCTTCTTTTCTTTTAGGAAAATAGAAAGTGAAAGTTTGGGAGAAAAACTGCCAAGAATTCAATCAGCCTCTCCAGATGTAGGTGGACATGACACCATCCCAACCCTCCCACTTAAGAGTCTGTGTTCTTTGGGATCAGAGATTACTCACAACCGTGCAGCCTCCACGTGCGATTTTTGTTCTCACGTTATCAGTCGCATATCTTGCTTGGCTCAAGGGAATTTCAGTCATGACTAGTTGATATTTGTGGAGGGAGAGTCGGTTAATATTATATGTAGCATTTAGAGATCCCCAATTTCAATGGCTATTGTTCTGCTCACCTCCAGGAAAAAAAAAAGCTTTTCTTTTAAATCATAAACCTCTATAAACCAGATTAAAAACAATTATTGTGATTCTCCCTGGAAAAGCTGGGCTCTGTCAAATGCTGTGCTTTGTTTTATTTGTCTCCAAGTAGATGTCTTTCTCCCTCTCTCTCTCTCCTGATTTTTTATTACTTTATTATTATTATTTGCTTCATTTGAATGTGTTTTTTTTTTGGAACGACATTGAATTATATACTTCTGTGTACCTCCTTTATATTGGAGGGTGGGACAAACTAAACAGATAGTCTTAAAAATATCTAGTTAGCCACACTACCTGAAACTTGAGTTACGTGTCTGATACGCATAAAAGATGCCTGTGAGTCACTGGCAGGTGCTTTTTGTAATTCAGAGGTAATGCAGACAGCCTGGTGGTCCTAGGATGGATGTAAATTATTGAAATGTTGTAAATGAGGGGCTGAAAGTCCGGAACTGTTATAGTAGCTTTTTATTTAAATTTACTTCTTAATTTGCCTTTTAAATGTGACATATTCCTAGATTTAAAAAAAGCAAAGATCTATAAACATCCATTTTATTTGCATTAAACGTTTTTAGGAGCTCTTTCTCGGGGTTTGAGTAGAAGAGGGGAAGGAATGACATGGCACCAGACATGTCAGCTTGGCTGCCACACTTCTGTGGTTTCTGCAGGCTGTGTGCCTCTGGTCTCCCCCTGAGTGGCTCTGCTGATGGAACCTAGCTCTGGCCTTTCTTTTGCTTTTGTTTGAACCTGCATTCTTGTGGGAAGGTAGTCTGATAACAGATCACAGAAAAAAAGAATGAAGTCAGACCCAGGCATGCCCCGTTTGACCAGATGGTTTGTTTTCTATCCCTGCCTTCCTCCTGGAACCTGATCACTTCGGTGGTCCTAGACCGACAGTGAGCGCACAGACACCGCGGCTGATGGGGAAACCACCGCCACTGAGGTTGGTATCGGAACTGAGGGCGCCGGCCGGTTGCCTAACGGACATGCTCTCTGGGGTGGCTCTGCGTTTGAGGACGGACTTTGCATCTTAGCTTGTAGAGTGGAGGTCGAGTCTAACTTTAGCCGTAGGAGTTGAAGATCTCCTCTTGCCTGGACCAGTGGTTCTCAAACTCTGGCCCGTGGCAGAGTCACCTGGAGGCAGGCACCCACCCTCCTGTTCCTCATTCAGGGGAGGTCCGGGGAGGACTCAAGAATTTGTGTTCCTAACAAGTTCCCAGGTGATGGTGACTCTGTCCACTTCACAGTCACAGTTTGAGAACCACTGGCTAACCTGATAATACTTTTTTTAAAATGTATTTTACCCAAAATGAGAGGCTGTTTATGGGCGAGACTCATAATGAGTGGGAGGGAGGGTCACAATTAATTAAATTAGCATATTGACTAGAATCCACAGATGCATTTTTAAATCCCAAAGGGCCAAAATACTAGTTGAAGTTACATTTAACTCATTTTGGTGTGCTGGATGTAGGCACTCAAAAGAAATGAATTCTCTAAGCAAGAGAAAATGAGCAAATTATTATTATCTCTTTCTTGGAAAAAACGTCACATCGAACTATGGTGGGAGAGATACTATGCTATTATTTGTCCTTTATTAATTCTTAAGGGTCCGTTAAATTTGCCTGTGGCTTCTCTACCAATAACTAAATTTTTTCAAGTCTTCTCTACCAATAACTAAATTTAAATTTCTGTAAAAATAATATTTACAGATACTAACAGAAGTCAAGATGTTCATTTCTCAGAGTGCTAACAGAATTTATGGTTTACTTTTTAATAGTGTTTTTTTACATTAGGTTGTTTTTTGCATCATCAAATCAAAACAATATTTTCTAGCTGAGTATTTAGGAAGAACTAAAAATGGTAAAAGTATTACCTATACATCACTTAATTGAAAATATCTTCAGAAAAACATTTCAAAATGGAGTTTAGTTGCATTTCTTCCTTCGGAAATGCCGAAGTTCAATTCAAAGCTTGGAAATCATTTTTTAAGTTGAAGACAGTACTGTGAAACTGTTATCCAGACTCTTTTAAGCAGTCACTTATAAATTGATTACAGGGTAATTCACTATGGCAAATATAACAAAATCGCATCTTAATTTTGTAAGAATTATTTATGTGTAGCCACTGATACATTCCATAAATTTCCCTGTAATCCTGATGTGTGCTATAAATGAAAAATATTATAATAACAATACTTAAAATTCCTATAGCAGTCTTAACATTTGTTCTACACCATTTGAGGCATGCGCCTGAGGACATGTAACATAGGTTGATTATAAGGCTTAAAAATAAAAATGAAGAGCTATGAATCCACCACAACTTAAGAATCACTGTGCCACCAGAGCTGTTAAGACTTCCCTGTGTGCCCTCTAATGCTTTTTAAATACGTCCCTCCTCTCGGGAGCCAGTGAACGGTAGTGCATGGTGGGGTGTGCAGGTTATACAGTCCGGCCCCTGCTGAGACCCAGACAGACTCACCGACTTTGCTGAAGTCCACCTGCTCAGGCACCCCCTGCTTCTCACCCATAATTTCACCCTGGACCCCCTCTTGTAGTTGATTTTTGTATTTGATGGTTGTTAATTTTTAAAATTTCCTTACTTACCCCATATCAGCACTTTCCCCTCCCAAATTTGTTCCTAAGTATGTGGGTTCAAGAAATTCAAGGTTCTAAGAAATGTTTAATGTGGGAACCTCTGTGGTAAGCTCTTTGAGCCTCGGTTCTCTGGTCTGCACATTCGGGGTAGGAATAGCTAACCTCAGAGGATAACTGTGCTTCTGCATTTCGACGTGGCTCCCCACACTCCCTGAACCATTGCTGATGCCCATTAAGGGCAGCGCCCTGGCTGTGGCCTCCCCAGTACGAGTGTGCACTTGTCACGCTTGGAAGTCTCAGGTTAAAGCATCAGAGACCCACTGAGCAAGGACTCTCTCACTCCCATCTTCTTGTGAAGCTTCATGACTTGTGTGTGAGAATGTCATGGTTTGCACGTAAGAAAGAAACAGCACCTCACGTAGGAGCAACGTAACACCCTCCTTTAGCGAGCTCACGTAGACCATGCTGCTTCCGTCTTGGAGTCACTTGCATGGTAAGACTTTATCTCCCACTCTTTCTTGATGCTGGCAGTCGGACCAGGAGGAAGATGCAGAGATCAAGGCACAGGTAGAAAACTTAAAAATCAAACGAAAGCCAAAAGCAGCGTGTGATGGAGTCGTTGTCCGTCTCCGGTGTGGGGCCCCTCCAGCATGCTCCGCAGCGGCTACCTGCTGTCGGTGCCGCGGGGAGGAGAGCACGTGACACTTGTTCCTGTGACTATCATGTCCCTTACGTTTCCTTTCTTCTCCACTTTTTTCAGAATAGTCTGATTAAGCGAATAAAGGGTGAAAATGTGTATGTCAAACATAGTAATCTTATGTTAGAGGTTGGTATCGGTGTAGACCAGTGCATGTCCGTGTGTGTCGGTTTCTTTTAGTGGCTGACCTGTGTGCCCGTGCCCTGATGCATGACCTGTGTGTTCTCACCTGTGACTAAGCGGGGCTGCCCTTCGGCCGCCGCCGACCCCTCCCTCTCCTAGATGTAGACCCCCTGCCCTGCGTGTTGTTTATTTTAATTCTCTGGTTACATGCGAATGACACTCGTGACAGCGGACCTTGGAAACGTTTGATTTTGTGCTTGCGTGAACTGAATTTTGTCTTCCTCTCATTTCCTTGGGAGTCACACATTTTCACCAGTGTGTCTGTGGTAGTGTCGTGAGCCCTGATCAGAATTCGTGGAGTTTGACTACTAATGAGATAACGGCGTTATTTTTTGAAAAGAGCGAGAGCAGAGAAAGGAAAACCAGTGTAAAAGCGGCTGACTGTTGGATTCTTTATGTTCTGGATGTAGGAGCTAGATAAAACTCAAGACGACCTGATGAAACACCAGACCAACATCAGTGAGCTGAAAAGAACCTTTTTAGAGACCTCCACAGACACTGCCATCACGAACGAATGGGAAAAGAGGCTTTCCACGTCCCCGGTGCGGCTGGCTGCCCGGCAGGACGACGCGCCCATGATCGAGCCACTGGTCCCTGAAGAGGTCGGTACCTGGGCTTTGGGCTGCCCTGGGCTTCTGTGCGCCGGCCTGGCTCCTCTCCGGGCCCTGCAGCCAGGGTGGGGAGGGGACCTGGTCAGCTTCTGAGCAGAGAGATCTCTCTGCTAGTCTGGGTGTAACTGGTAAAATGATTCGGGGGCTGAGGAGTGAGTGAGTCACATCTGATGGTGCCTTGGAGTGAACAGGGAGACTCTGGTGCACACCTGCTGCTTCTGACCGTAAACGTGGGTTTCACAGCTGGGAGACGTTGATGTACCGTCTTAAAGAACAGACACGGTTTCTGGGTATACTTCTGCTTTAAGAAATGCCCTGAAAATTCATGAATGTTTTTCATCAGTTGCAAGATGAGGCCTATTGAATGGTCTCATGTTTAACTAAACGCTGTTCTGAAGTTGATAACGTTTCAGGACATGTTTTACTCTGGAGATACTATAACCATGCTTTTACTGGTGTAATCAGTGTTTTGATTTTTATTTATAACTGATATATATATATATATACACACATACACACATATATAACTGATTATTTTAACTGATTTTTATATATGTGTATATATATGTTATAATTTATAATCATACGTATTATGAATTATAATTTATAATTTTATCTGATTTTTAGTAGAGAATGTAGGTGCCAGGATGCCTTTCTGAGTAAGAGTCTTCCGTGTAGGAACACTCTCTAAATATCCAGCCGGAGCGAGAGGGTTCCCGTGAGCAGCAGCGCTCACCTGACTGCCGCCTGTTACACAGCACCTTGCTTTAGCTGCCTTTCAAAAGAAGTATTTTGCTTATAACTGCATCTTTCTAGCATCCTATTGATTAACTTCTTTCTTACCAAGATTCCCTTATTGTGAGGTATTTGTCCAGGAAGCCGAGACAGAACAGAAGAAAATTAAAACTTAGGCCTTTATGAGAGAAGAATCTTTGAGACAGTCATCTGTATGCAATGCTTAGGTCTTGGCAGCAAAAAGAATACACTTACGCTTATCTTGATCACTTCCTCAACTTCCGTTGAAAGCAGTGACCACAATCACTATGTTCATGGCAGTTCCCATCCCAGTTTAAAACGACAAGGTATATCTCCATTTGAATTACTTTGCAAAGGGCCTTTTTATGTAGAATAAAATGAAAAGTCCTGTGCCCGGAGTCTTCCTGTACCATTAAACACCAGTTTCATTCAGATTGCTTGAGATTCAGGACGCAAAAATTTCAGATTTTTCCAGATCGATTTAAATATTGTTGTTCCTGCATTAGTTAAGAGTTATTAGTTATTAGTTATGGTCACATCCATTTTATTATAATTGGTCAAGTTTGGCTAACCCTGTCTCCACTGAGGTTGGAAATAAGGAAGAATGTTCTGGCTCTGAGGATGGCTTTGTTCAAGAATAAGTTACAGTACCGCTGGCCGTGAGTTCGAAGTTAATGGATGAATGATACATATTAAATAAGGGACCTTTAAACAGAGACACATATAAAACAAGGTTATGCATTGATCAGTTGAAAATTTGATGGCCAGAAGCTCCCAGGTACCTAGCCTTGTCTTTCCCATAGGAGCCGTGGTTCAGTATTCACTGATTCAGCGCCCACGGCGACTTGATAGACGACAACTGCCATGAATAACTAGAATCAGTTCTCTTTATGCATTTGTCTACTTTCTTGTCCAGCTTTACTTTTGCTATTCAGGTCTTGGATGAGCCTTAAAAATCCATTCACGGATGGAGAGAATTATCTCCATTCTCTGAATCTGACTTCTGTGACGCTCCATCCAGACCTTGGGCTGCAATTCTAGGTGCATATTAAAACCACCTACGGAAAATTTTTTAAACACTGATGCCTGGGTCTATATCAGAGTCTGATTTAATCAAGTGGGGGTGCACCACACACAGTACTGTCATTTAAAGGCTCTCCACATTATTCTCATGCAGGGCCCAGTTTAAGAACCTCTGCCCTGGGCAGAAACGAGAGTCACGGCTCTGCAGAAACTCTTAATCACCTGAGCAAGTAACACCTCTGTGAATTTTGCATACGATTGTAAGGCCTTGTGTCCCAATTATGACCCAGAGATGAACGTTAAGTAACTAAATGAAATGGTTGGGGTATACATCTGACCCAGCAGTAACCCGAAGTAAATGTTTTGATGATCAGTTTTTCTTTTCAGTACCTCTTCACTTCTCTTTAGCCGGGCTTGCTGGGGCTTGGGGTTCACCAAACGTAGGATTTGATGTTAACATCCGTCTCCTTATGTTACCCTTCTCTGTTTTGGGGCATACACAGTTCTGGGTGTACACAGCGTTGACCTTTTTAATTACAGACACGGACATCTTCAAAATTAATTGATGTCAGATAACAGGATATGCTGAAAACCACTGTTTTCCTGCTGTTGTTGTTTTTTTAAGCTTTCATCTTAGGAAAATACTTAGCTCGGTGATTATAATTAGAGGCCTAGCAGTGGTATTATGAAAAGTACCTATAATTTTGACCTTTCCTTCCTGTTTCTCATTTCTATTTGAAAAAGAAGCCATGATCGAAAGTTTAAAAAAATAAATCCACATTTAATGATTCCACATGGTACATTTTGTCTCTTCCAATTTCTTTCTCCAAAATGGGACAGGACAGGAATTTTTTTTTCCTTCAAAATGTCTTGTTTATTCCTTATTAAAAAGGAGCATATGAGAATGATGCATCAGAATCTGTCAGCAGGTCCTTCAGGAGAGTTTCCCAGATGCTCCTCTGCAACCTCTTGCAGGCAATTGATTAAATATCGTATTGATGGATTCGTAGACACACGCATAAGAATTTTAAATACCTCTCATAAAATTATATTGCTTAACAAGAGTGTTTGTTTTTTTTTTTTGAAGTTCCACTTGTCTAGAAACTTTGACCTTTGTGTTATTATTTTTAAACTACTCTTCCAAGATACCCTGTCACTCTCTGTGGAGTTGTGTGCTGTGCAGAGACAGGCTCGGTAGCTAATGTATTGCCACATGAATTAGGCCCATTTGATACTAAAGAAAGGGATAAAAAGTAGATAAAAGGAGAAAACTAGTTCTAACCTGGCATATTTACTCTTTTTCTTACTTGTATGTGTTAAAGACAGGTATGACTTGAAATGCTTAATAAGATATTTTGAAGTTGATTTTTCAAAATTATTCACCATGTTATAAAAGTCCAAATAAAGCTATAACCTTGAGTATATTTTATATATATTTGGGGAACACAGAAATCAATGTAAGCACCCCGGGCTTTTTCAGATTGGAGCTCCCGCGGTGACCTATGTGTATTTCCTTACTCTTGGTCAAGCATCACTTCAGTGGAATATGATCGAGTATTTGTCAGAAATGGATCTCGGGATTTATCCCTAATTTGATTCTTTTTCAGTCTTAACATTTTCATTTTAATACTCACTTTTATGGTGTTGCAGGTGACCGGCACGTAGACACTGTTCTCGTGCCAGGAAGCTGTTTATCGCCACGTTGGCATGTTCTGTGTTTGTAGAAATGAAAGATGTTGGAGTCCTCAGGACACCAGAAATTCAAAAAAGTAATCTGTTACTCTTTGGAAATAATTATTAAACGTTGAGATGCTTTCAGACCATTTTTTCAAATTAATAAACAGTCATTTACTTCATCAGGAAAAAAAATGAATGACTATTATATGTGTAGCACAGCAAAAGCGCTCTCTTCCTAACTTGCCTTTTTGGAAATTGTCTGCTTCCTCTTCTCCATCCCAACCCCCTTTATTCAAACAGACCAAAGAAGAAAGAGCGATTTCTGAAAAAGTTATATTTTTGCAGCAAGGAAGCTCTCCATTCTTTGAGCCTCAGGTAAAAAACAAACATGAAGGAATTTTCCAGAAGGTGAATTTCTCTCCAGATTCCAGTGTCATTCAAATGTCTTTAGCTTTTCTTTCCCTTTAAAAATTTTCCTTGTTGGCCACTGAGGTAGGTATGTCATTTTTGCCTAGATTCTGGGGAGGGAAGTAGGGACTTTCCTTACTGTTTTAGTTGTTAGCCATCATTACTTTGTGGCTTTCGCTCCCAGGTGCCTAGATCTGTGTGTCTTCATTGAAGTGTCACGACTATACTTTCTAATGATATTATTGGGGCTTTTTTACTGTCTGTCTCACCCATTGATTGATTCTGAAAGTTCTGAGCTTTCGCTGGTTTTCCCACTAGCCAAGCGTCATAAAGGAAACGCAGGAAGGAGACTCTGCGGGCTCCGTGTTTACCTCCCGTCAAATCATTTTCCAGAAAACTGTCCCGTCGACACTAGAGGTTATTTTTCAATTGATTTCCTCTAACCCAGCACCAGCCCTTAGATGAGTCTGTAATCCTTTCTCTTAAGGCCCACCTGTTTCTAGATTCGAGTTTTCAGGCTGTGAGAAATGTGACAGTAGAGAACATCTGAGTTTAAAATGTTAACCGAGGTGCCATGTGCTCTTCTGTAACCTGTCAGACCTGCCAGCGGCCCCTGCTGGCGCCCCGGCAGGCTGCCCGGGGGCAGGCGTTGCTTACCCTCCTTCTGTCTGCCTTGCTGGCGCGCGCACTAAGGAAGGTGGCAGAGAGACTCTCGAGACGATGGCCTTCGGCTGTAAATAAGATTGCAACAGCCCACAGACCACGGTGGCCCATTTGTCAGAGGCTCCAGCAGTGTTCTCCCAGTGGGAGGTACTTCGCTGCAATGCCAGGAGCACAGGCGCACTCAGTTTATTGGATAGTAAGTGCGAGGGTAGGTTCCATCTCCTGTGAGAGGAAGTAGAAGTCACAGGCATGGAAAACGGTTGGCACAGGAAGTTATGGAAATGCTGGCAGGTTCTTTGGGAGAACAACAGATACAAAGTATAGTGTTCTGTTTCACATGGAAAACTGTGTCCACACAAATAAAGCTAAATAACTTGTACAGCAGCTTCAAATACGTTATTTAATCTTGAAACATGAAATGATCAGACATTTAGCATGAGATTGAATATATTCCTTGGCCAAGTTTCCCACCAAAGTGTCTTCGTATTTCAAGAGATCTGAAATTGAGAATCTACCTGCATCCTGTATTCCCAGTTGAAGGTTAGAGGCGATAAATTCCAGGTGAGGAGAGACTGCAGCCGTAATCAATAGTAACCCCAGCCCTGTGCAGTCACTTCCCAGACCTGAGTGTCGCTCTCACCCTGATTATCTTAAAGGATTCTTATTTTAGAAATGGGATACCATCAGAATTTCTAATTTAGCTTTTATATTTCAAATATAGGGCACAGAGGATTGGGTTATTGTAGACAGAGTACCCACTGAGATAGTTGATGGTGAGTCGGGAAAGATTGTAACGTACAAGGTGGTGACGGTGAGCAGTGGAACGGGCGACGTCCCCACCGACCTGCTGGAGTCTAGTGCCGTTGAAGTGCAGAGCTTCGAAGACCTGGCCCGAGAAATGCACTTGAAGGGTGAGAGCAGACAGAAGATATACACGCTCGGAAAGTCCTATGATACCGTATCCGGAAAAATTGTTACAATGACAGGAAAAGCCAAGGATGGGGAGAAGGTGGCACCAGCTGAGTTGGTGAAGGCCCCCCCAGGCCTGGCGGAGTTCGAGGTCCTGAGTGCCATCGCCGACGACAGGGCCAGGAGGGGTCCCGAGGGCCACACACCGAAGCGGAGGTTGTCGGAGACCCTGGCTCCCATCAGGGAGGCCGAGTCCCGGAGGCAGAGCCCGGAGGATGGGGACCCCGCGAAGACCCACGTGCCGGGGAGAGATGCCGGCCTGGAGGGCGCGCGGCTCAGCAGAGTGGAGCCTGAGGCCCTGAAAGTGGGGCCCTTCGGTCCCCGCAGGAAGAGCCTGTCTGAGTGGAGATACTCCCAGGAACCGGCCGTCACCGTCGCCACCGCCCGTTACGTGACCGAGTCGGCCGCAGCCCGAGTTGTGGTAACCGGTGCCTCTCCGGGGCCACCGCTTCTGATGCCAGCATGACATTTGCCGAGGCAGCCCTTCCACCCCGAGCCTTTCTGTTTCTCCTGCTGTTTGGCTTATGTTGAGAGCAGCCAACCCAAGCTTTTTAGTTGTTTTCCTGGTTAAGTCACCACTGCGGTCCAGCGCGAGCATCTGGACACCTGCCGTTTGGTTTCCAGCTCCCATCCCCAAGGCGGGATGCTGCGGCTGGCGCTTGCGGTGAAGGGGGAACGTGATGGCTTAACCCAGCACCACCCGCACCCCAGGACCTCTCTCTGCTTACCCACACCAGAGCTCATGGTCACCCTGATTTGCTCTTTGATTTCCCATACTTTTCTGTTTCCAAAGTCTGGATTCCTTGATCCCTCACCCTCAGTCCTGTGCCTCCCGTCCCGTCTCACCAGCTGTGAGTGTGTCTGTGCCCGTGTGTGTCCCGACCTCTGTGCTTGACTCTCCATTTCTTTGTTCACTCAGACTAAGCAGTCTTCTGGCGAAAAGCTCATGGATGGCTCTGAAATCCTCAGTTTGTTAGAGTCTGCGAGGAAACCGACAGAATTCATAGGAGGGGTTACTTCTACTTCTCAAAGCTGGGTTCAGGTGGCCGTTTACTTCCATCCTTCGTGTCCCTGCCTCTGCCTGTTTGCCTTTCTTTATGCCTTTTTGGGGTGTGTGTGTGTGTGTGTTTTGCATCCAAGTGGCTTTGCCTTAAACACCTGAGAAGTGTCTTCAGTTACATCCTCTGTGTCTGCTCCGCATATCCGTCATGTGCCTTTAGCACCATTGCAAGAACATGCTTCAGTTGTTCAGAAAGCAATCGTGCTGAGAAATTTTAACAGCATTTAATTTTCTCAAGCATTTTTTATCACCTATTAGGTTTAAGAAAGCAGCCAGAACCAACATGCATGTGCTACGGTGCTTTGTTTTGTTTTGTTAATTGCATTTTATGTTGCATCCTGTTTCCTTTGCGGCGACGTGCAGGAGCAGCGCAGGTTGGAGTGTATGTGTCGGGGCAGGGACAGGCATCAATGATTGCGGTGGGGAGAGTGAACGCTAATTTATATTTTCTCTAAGTGTTGCTGGTTATAAGCCCTTGGCTCTGGCTTTAGGCCCCCTGGTGAGTGGCTTCTTTTGGTTTTTTTGCTTTTTGGTTTTGGTTTTTTTCTTTTTTTCTTTTTGAACTTTGATTTGTGTAAAGCCATGCTGACACCACAAGTTTTTTTTCCTTTCATGCAGAAAACAGAAACCAAGACGGAGTCCAGTGAAGTAGAGATGGAAACAACCCAACGCCCCCAGCCACTTAGCACTGAGAAGGTTGTGCAGGAAACTGTGTTGGTGGAGGAAAGACATGTGCTGAGTGTGCACGCAAGTGGGGATGCTTCTCACGCGGCTGGAGATGACATAGATGCTGCAGCGCAGGTGGCATCTGCTGATGCTGCTAGCGTGAAAGGGAAGGAGGGCTCAGTGCTAACTGAGGGCGCTAAAAAGGAGAAAGGGGAGGTGGCCGATAAAGCTGCCCTCGAGCAGGAAGAAATGGCCACTGCTTCCCAGGAGCCAGAGGAGGAGCAGAGTGCCGCCATCCACATTTCTGAAACTTTGGAACAAAAACCCCATCTTGAGGTAACAAGTAGTTCATGTTACTTTTAGCACTAAAGACGGCTGTGAGTGCCTGAAATGTAGTTATGGCGTAAAGGCGAGGCTGTTTAATTCCCTGCCATTTCCAAAAGCAGTTTGTTTCTCCTCTTATTTCCTTGCACGGCAATTATGGGTCTCCATGCTGGTTTCCATCTTTGGGATCACATGCAGACACATGTGATGATTATTAATAATGTACCGTTCCAGGAAATAGTTTCCACTTTCACTGTAATTATTATAATTGGCCAGAAACCTGGGAAACGCATGGCCATCCAAGATATTGGAAAATTTGATCAGTTTATTGCTTATCAGTGTGCTTATCCGGAAAGACCAAACCCGAGCTTGCCTCAGCACCAAATGCTAGAATTTATTCTTTATTTTCTTTTATTGAGATTCCTGAAGTATATGGGGGTGGGGGGTGGTTTAAATCTGAGTACTTGTTCCATCTCTTTAAGAAGTTATTACATAAAAGCCTAATTTATGATTTTTAATCTTTTGAAATTAGTTTATATCTCATAAACTAGAGGAGGAGGGGTGTAAAATTTTAAAAATTTCCTTCAGAATGTTTCCCTTTACCTGGAACATTCCATGTTAAAAACGCTGTGGAATTCTAGGAGACTGACGTATATCTGTCGTGTGCCTCATTCCCCAGCCTCCTGCCCATGTAACACATAAACGTTAATTTCATACTAACCTGTGCTCATTATGTCCACCAAGAGGGGAGGGAAAAAACCACAAGTGCTCGCGTGCAAAACGTAAGAGCCGCTCTCGTGCTTCCCTTGGTACAGTCATCAACTGTGGCAACGGAAACCGTCAGCTTTGGCAGTGTTTCACCAGGAGGAGTAAAGCTGGAAATTTCTACCAAGGAAGTGCCGGTGGTTCACACAGAAACAAAGACCATAACATATGAATCGTCACAGGTAAGACAGTCTGCACGGCCAAGCCCAGCACTTGGCTTGTCCGTTCAACGGTTTAGTTCACTTAAGGGGAACGCATGACATTTCATTTTTGAGGCACGGAGGACTCAGTGGCCAGACTGTCTGTTGAGAGCGATAGAATAATTGTAATTTTATTACCAGTCAAGGAGGAGCAGATAACTTAAATAGGTCCTCATATATCTCAAAATATAGAAGGAGTCTCAGAAACCTATTTCCCGAGCCATCGATAAGGGCTCAACCAGTCACTGCTCACATTTCTGAAGTCCCAGGTGTTTAATGCCGGTTAACTCTGGCCGTGTTGGCATCGGTCTTTACTCTCTGCAACAGCTCCCAGATGCCGACTAACAGCACAGAGATCATGGAGATAACTAAACCGTCACTGCAGTGCCCTCAGCCAGTACAGTGACTGCTGAGGTCATACAAATATTCAAGTATGGTGTCTCCCCCTTTGCTCGCTCAGGTGGACCTCGGTGCCGATTTGGAGCCGGGTGTGCTAATGAGCGCACAGACGATCACATCTGAAACCACCAGTACCACGACCACCACCCACATCACCAAGGTGAGTGCCCTGGGAACGGACACAGGAGGCTCAGAGCCGCCGAGCTGGGCTGCACAAGCAGACACCTGCGTGGGACGGCAGGATGCCAGGCGGCTGCACGGGCACTTTGACGGCTCCCGGATCTGCTCTGCCTCTGTCCTCACGTGCCAGGTTCTGTTTAGGAACATACATTCTGACACCCTCTGCGTCACTCTTAACTCCAGGGCTCAGCATAGGCTAGGTGTTCCAGACACACCAGCCCACCAAACCCAAAGGACAGAGTCCGTCCTCTCCTCTGAAATCGACCACATAAAGCACCGCCATGGAATTGCTTCCGTTCCTGAAGAACGAGCGCTGTTACTCAGAACTGTCAGCGTGCGCTGCTGTATCCCCCAGGCCACAGTGACTGTTCCTCCAAGTCCGTGCATTCATAATGCTCGTCTGTTCCTTTCAGACCGTGAAGGGAGGCATTTCAGAGACGAGAATCGAGAAGCGAATCGTCATCACGGGAGACGCGGACATTGACCACGACCAGGTAGCGTGGGAGACAGGGCAGGGACCCCGGCAGCGAGGGCGCGGGACACGAGGGGGCGCTCCTCCTCCTGGTGCCGCTCGCCGAGCCCCGCCTGCGGTCTGAACCGCACTTTCCCAGTTAGCGTTCCAGTCCTGCGCGTGGGGCTCCTTTCCCAGTCCCTCTAGCCCGGGTGTCAGCTGTGTATATAGATCTGGCTCCTGAGTCTCCACCTTGCTCTGACCATGCATGTCCCACCTCCTTTTTGTCTTTGCCCTCCTGTGATTCCCTGGGGCTAGGCGCTGGCTCAGGCAATTAAAGAGGCCAAAGAGCAGCACCCTGACATGTCAGTGACCAAAGTAGTGGTCCATAAAGAGACAGAGATCACCCCGGAAGACGGAGAGGATTGAGCCCAGGTAAGAGGCGGCACTGGGTCCCTTGGCCGGGCCTGGGCTGGCATGTGGCATGTGCGTCCCTCTCCCCTCCACCTACCTCCTCCTTCCCTTTTTGGTCTCTCACTGGCGTTGGCAGGGCTGGGTATCAGGAGGATGGAGAATTGGTTTGCAGGGCTGGTTTGTTTCAGATTTGGAGGCTCCACACCATGGACTTTTTGCATCCTTGCCAGTTAGAGGGTAAAGAAGGCAGTCTCTGCTTACACGGTCCTGCCTGCGTCCCCTGTTAACCCGTGCCCTGTGCTTCTCCCAGTTTCCACATTTGAAAGGTCGAATTAGTTTTCACTTGCCATGTGGCCTAATCGGAACTGAGATGGCTTTATTCCAAACACTTGGAAGATAAACATCCTCTGTCTCCTTTGGACGGAGGCTGCGTGCCCACATCGTAAGCTTTCTCTTCACACTGTGTTTGGTACGAGCCTGTCGTTGCTTTTGTTTTCTTTGCTTTACAATTTGCAACCACTTTCATGGTGGGTGTTTCATCATCCATTTCCTGTATCCTTTGGGACAATGGATGTTTCCCGCTGAGTGTGCCACGTGTCTCGGGAGGAGGCAAAAATGCAGTCCTGTGATCCTGATTGCCTCCAGAAAGCGCATGCCTTTCCAGCTGCTGTTTGGCCAACATCGCGAGCAGGCAGCATCTTCCGTGTGTGCGCAGACTTGTCACGCGTGCTCACCTGCCCTGCAAAGAACTCGAGGGGCCCCGAGCATCCCAAGGGGGCTTGGAATGCTGGATGCAGGAGGGGGAGGTACCTGCACACTTGGTTATGTTATAAAGGTCTCTTAACATGTTTCATGGGTACAGATGAACTAATGAGTAAGTTCTCTAACATTGGTTTAGGGAGCCTAGATTGATGAGTGGCCTGTTAAAGAAAAAAATATAAAGATCACTCATTATATTCAAGTTAATAATGTCATTTGGAAGATAGTAAGAGGGGAAAAAAAGGTTTTCTTCAGTGAGTTCAGCCCCTTGGGTGAAGCTGCAGTTAATTCAGAGAGAGCACTTCAGTGACTTCCACTGGTATTTCACAATACCTTGTCAAAAGAGCATTTAATGGCCTGCAGGATACTTTTCCTGTGACCTCCATCTGAGAGGGAAACTCTCAGATGCCTTCCGGTGAGTAACGGATCAAATCTCTTTTCTCCAGGAATAACCTAGCCTGCACATGAATCCAGCCATGCAGACCATTAGGAACGAACCAGAGCCTATCTGCACCTCCCTCTAACCCCCTGACCTGTGTCTGCCAGTGGAACATTTCAATCTGGAGGAACAGACCTTGATCATTAAAAAAAAAAGACACTGGCAGAGAGATCTTCCCATAATAAAGCAATCCGAATCAGCATCACTAAACTGATATTGCATGAAGCAACGATAAAATTACAAAACGAGCAGCATTTTTACTTTTCACACAGCGTCTCAGTTTTCAGCTGCACCTGCACGTTCATAACCGACGGTAGAAGCCGTGATCTCATGTAACACAACAATCCATGCCTCTCACAGTTTATGATTATTAAAGTCAAAACAAAATTGCAGTTTCTTAGGTGACAGATCTTTTGTTTACAGATAAATAGAGATTACCCAAAACTGCTTAGAAGTTGTCTAGGTCCGGTGTGTCAGGCTCGCCCCAGATTAGATGTGCCAATAACCGAGTTTATTCAGTAAATCACTTGAATCTTGTACTTGTTTATCTGGTTTTATTACTCTCACCCATAAACAGTAATGACTCTCTGAGCCTCTGGAAATATTTAACGCTTACAACCCTGCTCTGTGTAATCTAATTTAATTCGTTATAAGGTAGTGCTGATTTTAACCTATTAATGTGATTTCTTCCCTCTTGTCCGCTTTGGTCTGTGTTCAATCCAGAAAGCTTCCCAGAGTTCCGGAACAAGTCCTAAATATGTAAATTGTCATTATTTTGGAAAGAAAAACCTGTATTTTTGTTAGTTTACAATATTACGAAATTTCACTCCAGAAAAAAACCCGTTGGGCTTCTCTGTTGCTTTGTTTTCTTTCTTCGTTTCTTCTTCCTTGTATTTTTTTTAATTGATTTTTCTTATTTTACTTGGGAAAAAAAAAGTGTTTTATTTCTAAATCTGGTCCATATTTACAGTCTAGTTCAGAGCCAAGCCTTAAACTGTACAGAATTTCCACTGTAATTATACTGTTTAGCGCTGAGTTATAAATAGCCTTCAAGAAGATCTATTCTCCATGACACTGTCGACAGCATCACACGGCCCATGGTGAATGTGTGTTTCTGCATAGCAAAATAAAAATGGTCCATGCATTTAAACCTCCACTTCTCTATGTGTTTCTCTGCGTGTGATACTTTCAGTGTCATGTGTGTCTAGCCCAGAGGTAACATGTGCCTGCCATCAAAGTCCTCGTCCATCCGCAGGGTAGAGAGAGCCTGTCTTTTTACAGGGTAAAAAGTGTGTACAGTGACAGTGTATAGACTCTTGGAGGAAATTTCTAGTTTTTCTATTAGAAGGGAGGCTCTGCTACAAACCCACCGTTCCTGAGTGCTTTTCATCCACCAGAGGGACAGTCTGCCTCGCATCAACTCCGAACCTCAGCGGACTACCTGGCGGGTTCTGTGGGGCCCACCCCGTGCTCCCGACGCTCATTCTCATCAAACTCCTTCATGCCAAGGACCGAGGAGCAGACTTTCTGCTACCAGCCGACCACCTGACGCTTAAGTGCGCTCATATTCCCTGCCATGTTGTACTTTAACCCACTTCAGGATTTTTTTTTTAAACTCTAATTAAAAACACACACACACACAACTTTTTTTTCCTCAGAAAATTGTTAGATTTGACCATATATCTTAGTCTTTTTTTTTTAGCATACATGTATTTGTTTTCAAATTCTTTTTAACCATAAGTTACTATAAGATACCGAATATAGTTCCCTGTGCTCTACGGTATGAACATGTTTATTTTCTATGTAGCAGTTAGTTTCAGCAAATCTCAGACTCCCAATCTATCCCCTTCCACCCCCTTCCCCCCCTTGTAACCACAAGTTTGTTTTCTATGTCTGTGAGTCTGTTTTATAAATAAATTTGTCTTTTTTTAGATTCCACATATGAGTGATCTCATGGTATTTTTCTTTCTCTTTCTGGCTTATCACTTAGAGTGACAGTCTCCAGGTCCATCCACGTCGCTGCAAATGGCATTATTATTTTTTATGGCTGAGTAGTATTCCATTGTATAATTATACCACAACTTCTTTATCCAGTCACCTGTCGATGGACATTTAGGTTGTTTCCATGTCTTGGCTGTTGTAAATAGTGCTGCTATGAACATTGGGTTGCATATGTCTTTTTGAATTAAGGTTCCCTCTGGATATATGCCCAGGAGCGGGATTGCTGGATCATATGGTAAGTCTATTTTTAGTCTTTTGAGGAGCCTCCATACTGTTTTCCATAATGGCTGCACCATTAGTCTTACTGAGGGAGTCAGAGTCTCATCAGTTTTCTCTGAAGTAGCTATCAGTTTATCCTTACTGTCCGTACTAAGTGTTTTAGGAACTGAAGTATCATCTTAATTGTGTTTGAAGCCAATCAACAAAATGTGTTGAGGGAAATGAACACCTTATTGATAAGAAAATGGCTCGTGGCCTCCCAAGGATGCTTGAACCTGATCTGCTCAGCCTGTGTCCTAGCTGTACCTGTGGTCACTTTTTTTTTTAAATTTTTATTATGGTATAATTGGCATATATTATTTTGAGGGTCCAACATGATGATTTGGTATTTTGTGTATATTGTGAAATGATCCCCACAGTAAATTCAGTTCCCATCTGTCACCGCACAGTCACAATCTTTTTCTCATGACGAGACGTTTGAAGATTTATTCTGTTGACAACTTTTAAATATGTAATATGGTATTTTTGGTTCTTTTATTTTTATTTTTTTTAATTACCATGACACTTTTTTAAATTAAAATACAGTCAGTTACAATGTGTCAATTTCTGGTGTAGAGCACAATGTCCCAGTCATGCATATACATACATACATTCATTTTCATGTTTTTTCATTGAAGGTTTATGATGCAATTTTATTAATTACAGTCACCATGCCGTCCCTGTTTGCCATGTTTGCCAAACCTAGTGTTACCGGTGTTTCTCTGTCCTTGGCCACAAGGGCTCATTCATTTTTATAAAATTATAAGTTACCAAGAACATTGCATATTTTCAGCTTTCTTTCCCTTCTGTTGTGCCCCTGGATGGAGCTTTTCCAGCCTCCATCCGCTGCTGTGTGGCGTTCCCAACACTCCCACATACTTGGGTATCCGTGACAGCAGTGCTCCACTTCTAGTACCAAAATCCGTATCTGTTTTTTCCCTTTTTATTGCTGCGTAGCAAATTCCACAAATCAACAGCTTGAAACAGCACATACTGATTATCTCATGGTCTGTGGTCAGGAGTCCAGGCTTGGTTTCACTGCGCCCTCTCTCTAAGGCTGCAGCCAAAGTACCGGCCAGGCCTGGGGTCTCACCTGGAGGCTCTGCTGGGGAAGCATCTCCTAAGCTCTCTCTGGTTGTCTGCAGAATTTGCTGCTTTGTGGTTGCTTCTAGGGCTCCTGGCAGCTTGCTGCTTCAGAGCCAGAAATGGAGAGGGAGCCTCTTAAGAGTGTGTTTGCTGGCAAAGCAGTCTTAGATAACGTAACATAACCAAGGGAGTGGCTTCCGTTACCTTTGCCACGTTCTGTTGATTACAGACAAGTCACAGGCTCTGCTCACATTCCCTAATCTGACAGTCTTAGAGCTGGATTCCACTAATGCATAAAGCCAGCTGTGGTCGTTGCTAAGCCCTTAGCTCATCTCAGAACACTTATTTATTTTAGCCATTACTACTAACACAGAATACTGTCGCATTGTGTTAGGTGTGTAAAAGGCCCTAGATGTTAAACACTTGCGGAAACTGAAGAATTCCACGACAGTTAGCTGTTTGCCTCACAGAAAAATGCTTGCTTCTCAGTTTGCTCTGAGATTCAGGTCCAGGGCCATAAGAAAATGGGAATTCATAGGGCTCTCACATGAGCAGAAAAACAAATCACAAACCTAAAGGCATCGTGGTCTGGCCGGTGGAGAGCCTGCACTTCCTGCTGACCTCACAGGGTCTGCAGAAACACCTGTGGAGTTGCCGAGCCAACAAGAAAAGTCTTAGTGATATTTTGTCTGGAGTCATCGAGGCATTGCCAAGTCCAGGGAATAAGCCTGCCTTCAGCGCGGTGCTTTCTGCTTTATGTCAGTGGAGCTCAGCCTGGGAGTGAGGCTCCACCAGTGCAGACCCCACCCTGCCCCTTCCTGGGTGTTGGATTAATGGATGGAACTGCACTGCTGCTGAGACATCACTGCCCCTGCGAGAGAAGTAAGGGCAGCCCTAATGTGGGGATTCCCTGTGCTTTCACTCTCCCAGAATTTTTCCATCCTCTATTCCACATTCCTTCCAGATTTCACGGGACCACCGTATCCCCGGTGCTTGGGCACGGTGACTTAGACCATGCACCCTGTAGGATTACTCACTCCCCCCCCTTTTTTTTAACAATAACTAATAATCCATTTCCTTCATTCTATCAGCACTTCTATTATGTTATTTTCTAAGTCAGCATCAATCCTAGCTAATTTTTAAAAATCAGCCTGGAGTCTAGAACAGTGATCTAAAATTTCTTCTAACTTACAATTGAGGCTTATGTGTACCTCCTTCAAATGCCTTTTTTTTTCTTTTTATCTTTCTCACTGCAGTAAAGTAACCAGAGTCAGAATTCTGCCTTGAATTGCCATAGAGGTAGCCTTGTGTTTCAAAGGGCATTTACTCCTTAAGTAAAATTGCGTTATTCCACTTTTTTTATAAATAGATTTTGGTGGCAGGCCATCGGTGCATGTAAAATGGTACTCAGACACGACATTTCATTCCGACAAACAGTTTCTGATCAGAGCTGATGAACCCCGAGGAAGAGGGACAGGAGTTAACGCTCCCCGAGGAGTGTGGTTACGTCCACGCAGACACCCCGTACAGTAGCCTCATGTTTCCTTGGGATAAATGACATCTTTTAAGAGGTTGGATGGGTTCTTGTAGTGCAAGCTTAAGAAAGAGTTTATCAGCCAAAATAATACGTGGATTTTCACAGTGCCCCGTGCAACAGGGAGGAACCAGAATATTTAGGGGCTGAGTTTCAGGCTTACCCATTCTCCTTGAAGAATGCTGAAATCTAAGCGATCTCTGAAGACAAGCAGTGACAAAGAAATGCGCATTTTAATGCAGGATACCTTTCCAATAATCAATTGACCAAAACATCACCTTAATTCTAAGCTTTGGGAGGGTGCCAAGCCACAGCCACTTCTGGTGGGATGGTAAGTTGGTAATTTGGGGTAGAATCGATTAAGACATATATATGCTCTTAAATTTTTCAGAAAGCTTTTGGCCCAGCAAATCCAGTTCTGGGAATTTTTCTAAATCAGACACAGAGGTTTATAGAAATTAATGTAAAGGGATGTTTAGTGCAGCATTGCTCATAAAAACCAAAATGTTTAAACAGTAAATATTCAGCAAAGTGGAAAATGGGTAAATAAATTCTGGTGTTTACACAAGATAGAATGCTGTGTACTCACCAAAAATTATAGATTAAAAATTATGACCTGATGGAGGAAATAATCTTAATAAGTGTAAAAATGCATAAAGCAATTAATACATTCTGGTGGTAAGTAGGCAAAAATGCTTATCTGTGCATAGAAAATGCATAGATGTATATACCAAAGTGGTAATAGTGATTTTTTTCTCCCTGAAGGAGCGCATATAATGATTTTTTTTCTTCCTTGTGCTGTTCTGTTTTTCCAGTTTTTTCAGGTGTCTGTCGCCATCATTATATATTTTGAAAAACAGTTTATTTGAGAACTGAGTAATGGCGAGCGAGAGAGACATAGATGCGGAGAAGTTGGGAAAACTGACTCACCAAGTGTTGCAAACGCCTTCTTTAGTCCCGTTCTAATTAGAATGGTGATCAATGAGTTTCTGTTACAGATAGTGACGTTACTTATAGTAACACTTGAGCACTTGAGGTGAGAGCTTTCTAAATGAAAGACCTTTGCCTTGGACTCACATTAGTGGTTTATCAGTGCTTTTGCTTTTTTTTTTTTTTAAAGGGGAGTGATTTAGCATACGGTGAGAGTAATTCTTAAGTGTTACCACAATATAATTGAAAGATAATGCTTCTCTGGGTTTGCTGAAATTTTACTTCCCTCTGCATAAAAGCTGTCTCTCACTAGCACTGTCTTTAAGCAAGCATAGCCTAAA